TACATTAACCAAAAAAGGAGAAGATTTAAATGAGCACAATCAGAAATGATAAAGATGACATTACAGTCAACACCACAGAAATACAAAAGATCATCAGAGACGACTGTGAACACCTTTATGTATGTAAACCAGAAAAGATAGAGAAAACGGATGACTTCCTAGACACATACAACTTCCCAAGACAGCACAGGAAAAAATAGAAACACTAAACAGACCAACAACAAGTAATGAAAAAGAATCAGTACTCAAATTTCTTCCAGAAATAAAGCCCAGCAATAGATGGATTCACAGACAAACTTTGCCATATATACAAAGAAGAGCTGACACCAATCATACTGAAGCTATTCCCAAAAAATTGAGGGTGGGGATTCTTTCCTAACTCATTCTGTGAAAACAGTATCACCCTGATGGTAAAATCAGACAAGGACTCAAGAGAAAAATGAAACCACAGGCCAAGAGACCTGAGGAACACAGATGCAAAAATCCTCAAGAAAATATTAACAGATGGAATCTAAAAGTGTGTGAAAAACATAATTCATCATGATCAAGTTGGCTTTATTCCAGGGATGAAAGGATGGTTCAATATATGCAAGTCAACAAAGGAGACTCATGATATAAACTTGAACTAAGAACAAAAGGCGTTTTATCATCTCAACAGATGGAGATAAACTATTCAATAGAGTTCAACAGCCCTTCATGATAAAATCCCTCAACACACTAGACATAAAAGAAACACAGCCCAACATAATAAGAGCTCTGCATGCCAAACACACAGCCAACATCAAATTGAAGGGGGAGAAGTGAAAGTTTTTCCCAAGAAATGGAAAAAGACAAGGATATCCACTCTCACCACTCCTACTCAACACGGATCTAGAAGTCCTCACCAGAGCACTTGGGCAACAGAAGGAAGAGCATCCAAATTGGAAAAGAGGAAGTGAAATTATCTGTGTGTGCTGATGACATGACTGTATACCTAGAAAATCCTGACGATTCTTCCAGAAGTCTTGTAGACTTGATAAGTGACTTCTGTAAAGTCTCTGTATACAAAATCAAGGTACAAAAATCGATAGCCTATCTATACATCAGTACCATTCAAGCTGAGAATCAAATTAAGAACACACACACACACACACACACACACACACACACAGACTGAGAAGTATATTTAAACAAGCAGGTGAAAGACCTCTACACAGAGAATGACAAAACGCTGACGAAAGGAATTGTAGGCAACACAGTCAAACAGAAAAACATTCCTTGCTCATAGACTGGAAGAATCAATATGGTTAAAACGAGTATATTGCCCAAAGCATACTACACACTCGACACAATTCCTATCAAATTACAAATGTCATTTCTTTAACAGAATTAGAGAAAAAGCAATTTTCAAATTCATTTGGAGCCAAAAATTAGCCTGAACAGCTAAAGCAATTCTATGCAAGAAGAACAAACCTGGAAGCGTCACACTGTCTTGATTTCAAATTATACTACAAGGCCATGGTAACTAAAACAGCATTTACTAGTACAAAAATGTACAGAGATGCCAAGGAAACAGAATAGAGTAACTAGAAATAAAGCTACCTGCCTACAACATACTGAGCTTTGCTAAAGTCAACAAAAATAAACAATGGAGAAAGACACCCTATTCAATAAAGGATGCTGGGAAAACTGGGTAGCTATCTGCAAAAGAATAAAACTGGACCCCTATCTCCCACCATGTAGAAAAATGAACTCGAGATAAATTAAAGACCACTGTGTGAGATCCTGGAACTATGTAAATCGTAAAACAAAATTTAGGAAAATCTCTTCAGAACATTGGCCCTCCAGGCAAAGAACTCATGATAAAGACTCTTTAAAAATGCAACAAAACCCCAAATATGCAAATGAGACCTGATTAAAATTAAAAGCTTCCACACAGCAAAAGAAACAATCAACAGAATGAACAGACAGCCTACAAAATGGAAGAAAATATTTGCCAATTATGCCACCAACAAAAGGCTAGTGTCCAGAATCTACAAGGAAGTCAAAGAATTCCACCTGAAAAAAAAAAAAAAAGAAAAAGAAAGAACTTCATGAAGGTGAAAAACCACATGGAAAAGAACCACAAACAGATTTATAGAAAACTGAGTAAAGCACACCAACATCAACAGACATTTCTCAAAAGAAAAATATAAGTGGCCAACAAACACATTAAAAAATGCTCCACATGATTAATCATCAGAGAAAATCAACTTAAAACCACACTGAGTATCAACTGACACCAGTCAGAATGGCAATTCTTAAGAAGTCAAAACCAACAGATGTTAGGAAGGATACATTGTTGGTAGGAATGTAAATGAGTTTATCTTTCACAGAAAACAGTAGGGAGCTATCTCAAAGAACTAAAAATAAAACTACCATTTCACTTTGCAATCCCATTAAATGGTATCCAGCTTAAAAAAGAAGTCATTATATAAAAAAGACAACAGCACTCCTTATGTTTGTTGCAGCACTATTTACAACAGCATAGAAATAGAATTCTAGGAATGTATGAGACCCCTTTTCACTTAAACACGTTTAAATATCTGAAAAAAGAGAAAATTAAATTTTTCAGACAAAAATATGGATTATCCTGGTGAAAAATGGGCATCAGAGAAATGAGTAAGAAATCCTAAAGGTGAAAATTTCTATTGAAGAATACAATCAAAATATTTATTCTATCAGGGTCAAGATACAGCTGAAGAGACATTTATGAAATTGGAAAACAAAATAGAGAGAATTTTCCAGAATGCACCATGGAGGCACTGAAAGTGGAAATTTACCATCCTTAGGGGAATATTGTGTGCAGGGAGGACCTCATATCTACTGCACATGTCAGAAGGAAAGAAGAGTGAATGACATCAGGCAACAACTCATAAATTACAGAGTTGAACATTCGACAGAGATGAGGGTAGACTAATTAAGTGCTAGGGTGCACACATTTAAACGTGAAATGCAAATCTTGACCTACCACGATACATTGAAAAATATCAGGAGTAGATTATCAGGAGTAGTAGTATGTATGCTAGACTCAAGTTGTCTGGCGTAAATTGTACAGTCTAAAACGCATGTTTAGCCGGGCGCGGTGGCTCAAGCCTGTAATCCCAGCACTTTGGGAGGCTGAGGCAGGTGGATCACGAGGTCGAGAGATCGAGACCATCCTGGTCAACATGGTGAAACCCCGTCTCTACTAAAAATACAAAAAAGTAGCTGGGCATGGTGGCGTGTGCCTGTAATCCCAGCTACTCAGGAGGCTGAGGCAGGAGAATTGCCTGAACCCAGGAGGCGGAGGTTGCAGTGAGCCGAGATCGCGCCATTGCACTCCAGCCTGGGTAACAAGAGCGAAACTCCGTCTCAAAAAAATAAAAAATAAAAATAAATAAAAAAAATTTAAAACGCATGTTTGTGTTCTGTGTTTTTCAACTCAGCCTGTCAGTAGAATAGCATGCACATTGAAATTGGACTTCCCAACAGAAAAACAAAAGGACAGACGATGTTGAAAAAGTACCCTACAAGTCAGTCACATAGAAGGCAGAGGTCAGTGTGTTCACAGGATTCGTACCGGAGAGTCACGAGACACACTGTGGGATCCATGGGAAAGGCTGGTGGCCAGGTATGCAGGAAGGTAATTGGTGACAGATGCCAGAGTCTCCCACTTGACATCGCTAAAATCTAGGCTCAAATTTTTGGCCTGGCACAATCAAACTACGACTTGGAAGATATTCTCACTCAAATATTAACGCGTATACAATATTATGCTTTACCTATAAGCATAGTATTGTAATCATTCATATTCTGTTGAGTCTTTGAAAATGTCCCTAATGGAATGTATTTATTTTACATGGTAAACGGGGAATGGCTGCTTCCTTTGTCCTAGAAAGTTCAGGATTCTTTGGTCCCTCAGGATCCTTCCCCCAACCATTCCATCCTATGAGGCAGTTTTACATCCTTCAAACACAGTGGTCTCTGACCTAGGAAAGTTTAACGCTTTAATGCTGGGACTCAAGTCCTCTTGCTGTTTGGAAGAAGTCAGAGAAGAATCAACCCCGGTCGTTTCTGCATGTTTCTATCTGACTGTCACAACTGAGTAGAAAGAAACAGCTCAACTCATTGACAAGATTCATTGGCCTGAGGTCTCATCTTCAGCTGGATGTCTCTGCTACTTCCATGATTTTCCTTCTGTGGATCTCCACCACACTGTAAATGCCTATCATTGTTTTGACATGGTGTACTTTGGTTCTACCTGGAAAGGCGGGACATCTTAAAGTAAGGAGCTCACAGGTCATGGGTGGATTGAAATGTTTTCAGCCAGAATATGCAGATCCGTAGAGACAGAAAGCACACCTGTGGTTACCAGGTGTTGGAGGAAGAGGAAATGGTAGTGACTGCTGAGCGGGTGTCAGGTGAGGACGATGGTGTGGAACAAGATGACAGTGATGGTCACACAATGATCTGAGGGGAAGACACACAGATAGCATCTGAGAAAGAGGGAAGGGCTCATAGGATCCGGAGAGGGTGTTGGGGCATCCGGGTGGATTCATCTTTTCCTGCTTGAAATCTGATGCTCTCCCATTGATTTATTTACTGGACCACATTTGGAACTCTGAACTGAGGAGATGGAGGCTCAGTAACTCTCCCCAGGGAGTGTGGCAATGAGGAATAAGGAAGACTGTGTTACACGCCATGGACCAGAGCACGCAGGTGTGCAGACGTGAGGACCCGATGCTGCCACATGGGACGGAGCCTCATGTGTGGGGGAGGGAAAACAAGGGGACCCAACGATGGGAAGTCAACATTCATAGAGAGGAAAGTATCACATGTTCATGGTCCTCCATGGATCACCCTGGAAAATGTCTCTGCATTCCAACTCTGATTTTCTCCCTCTAGAAATGATCAGCAAGCAGTCCAGATAGCATCAGCCCTAAATGGTCTCCAGAACCTGCTGGGATCATCAGATCTGTTCCCAAGGCTCCAGCACTCTGAAGGCTGCACTATCTTCTCTGCTGTTCACCTCCTGGCTGCATCTTGGGGGCTTCACTGGCTGTGCTGAGCCTCAAATAGCAGAATGCCGAGGACCACCAGGACCAAGCCAGCCATGCCCATGCGGATGAGATTCCCCACTGTGTAATCCTGAGGGTGTGAGGCTGGGAGAGTGGACAAAGAGGTCACAGAGATGAGGGAGGATCAGCATCACCCAGGACCTCTGGATGTCCACCCAGGGCACCTACCTCCCCTTGACAGGACGCTACTCTCTGTGCCAGCCCCGTGACCTCAAGCACCTCCTCACTCACCATCCTTGGAGTCAGACTTGTTTTGTGATGGGTTGAGGGTCTCAGCTGCTCCTGAGACTCAAAACCGGGGAGGAGAGACATATTCAGATGTAAGTTTATAAAACAGGTTGTATATAACGTTATATGTAACTTATATAACTTCCACTGTAGCCTGTGCCTCCTCCTCTGTCTCTGCCCAGCTCCTGGAGGGAAGCCCATGCTTGAGTTCTTGAGGGGAACAGGATCCTCTGGGAGACACAGGAATGCTTTGGGGAATTGAAACATCCACCCCACCCACTTTACAGATGAAAACCTGAGGCTCAGAGAGGGGAATCACCTGCCCCAGGACCCCCAGCCAGGAAATGGCAGAGCTGGGAAGGGGACCCAGGAGTCTGACCGGCAGCCCTTCTTCCGTGCACTGAGCCGAGCCCCGGAGCTGCAGGGAAAGAGCCTGAATGCTCCAAACCAGGGCCCTGCTCCCCTCCCCCCGCCCCAGGCCACCGTTACTGCTGCAGGTGGGACAGCACTGGCCCCTGAGAAATCGGGTCTGGAGGGTTCCCTGGGGGGCCTCCTCTCCCAGGAGGTCAAAGCTGGGAGTCAGCGCTGAAAGGAACTTTCCCACCCGTGCAGGCTTCTCTCCTTTACACTTGGAGAAACTGAAGCCAAACAGGGGAGGGGCCTATCCATGTCACCATCTCCAGAGGAGCCTTAATCCAATGACAGAACCCACCCCTGCCTCCCCGGACCCTGCCCACCTCCCCGCCCACCTCCCGCTCAGAGCGCCTCACTCACCACTCCGGGGATCAGACTCCGTGGGAGGGACAAGCTGGTCCTGAGGGCCTGCTGGGTTGGGATGGGGATCAGAGGGCTGGGGCTGTCCTACTCCCCACTTCAGCCTGGCTGCTCCTCGCCCAGGCTGGGCCCCAAGATCTCCCACTGCCTCAACCCCACCCCTCACCAGCGCAGCCTCAGAGCCCCTGGGAGCTTGTAGCCCTCGCTCTGTCTCTGTCCAGCTCCCTGGAGGGAAGTCTGTGCTTGGTCCTTGAGAGGAACGGGATCCTCTGGGAGCCTCAGGACTGTCCTGGGGGAGGCCAAGTTCCCGTCTGCTCCCCACCACCTTCCTGATGCTGGTGATGCGGCTGAGGGTGGGTGTGCCTGGGAGGGCCCCACTGTCCTCCTTCCCTCTGAGGGCTGAGGCCCCTCTGGCTGAGCCTCCTTCAGAGCCCCCTCCCTCCATCCCAGCCCAGAGCTCTCCTGGGGCAGGGCCTGAGCTGAGCCTTTGAGCTCAGAGAGGACAGGGTCAGGGGCCTCACCTGAGACCACGAGCTCCAGGGGGTCACTGGGGTGAGACAGCAGGTAGGGGTTGAAGCTCCGTGAGCCGTAGCACCTGTAAGTGCCCGTGTGGGCTGAGGTCACAGGACTCATGGGGAATTCAGCCTGGTACTTATCAGATTGGTACTTTGAACTTAGACGAAGCGGGGCACCAGCTGCTCCCTCCTTGGTCAGAAGGAAAGTGTCCATCCACCCCTGTGACTGACACAGCAGGGTCACGTTCTCTCCTGAGGCCACCGTGGGGCCCGGCTGCACTGAGAGGGAGGGTGTGTCAGGGATCTGTCCTGGAGAGAAGAGGATGGGTGAGGGGCTGCCCCGCCTTGTTCTGAGCTGAGACCTCCCCAGGCCTCTCTCTGGGACCCTCAGTCTCTGCTTTCTCTGAGTCTCCCCCTCCCCACCTATCCCCTGTCTCTGTCTGTCTCTCCCTCCCTTGGGACCCCCCCCACCCCTCATCCCGGCCATCACCACCTGGGCTCCCCGGCAGGGTCTGTTCTGAGCCTGGGTCCCTGACTGAAGGCACTGGGCTTCTCACCTGTGATCAGAATGTCCAGGGGGTCACTGGGGGCCGACCACTCGGAGGAGACGTTGTGTGCACCAGAGCATCTGTACTGGCCCCCGTGGGAGCGGCTCACAGGGCTCAGGGTGAAGTTGGCCTGGGAGAGCCCAGCCTGGAGCTGCCGGCCAGGGCGCTGGAGGAGGTCAGTTCCCCAATCCTTGTACAGAGCGAACCTGTCATAGCCGACATCAGAGCCACACTGGAGGGTCAGGGTCTCCCCAGGGGCCACGACAGGACCCGGCTGCACTGAGAGTGATGGCTTCTCAGAAACACCTGGGAAAGGTGGTCATGGTCTCCAGGAGCCGACCCTCAGGCTCCCCACAAATCCTCCCTCTCCCTCGGCCTCACCACTGCAGATCTTCCTGTGTCTCTGACCCAGGAGCCCTGAGCCCTCTCACCCCAACATCGTCCCACCTGGAGCTGCCCTGAGACGCGGCTCCTCCCCACCTGCCCGGAGACTCAGGGATCTCCAGGCAATGCTGTGAATTTCTCACCTGGGACCCGGAGCTCCAGGAGATCACTGGGTGAAGACCACACATAAGGAGATTGAGAGTAATAACCATAGCACCTGTATGTCCACCTGCGACTGGGGCTCACGGGTCCCACGGAAAAGACAGCATGGGATGACCAACGGGCATGGGGCTGGGAGTTCAGGCATGGTGGGTGTTCATCTTCTCCTTCCTTACACAGAATGAAGCCATCAAATGCCACCTGTGAGCCACACTGGAGGGTCACGTTTCCTCCTGGGGTCACTACAGGGCTGGGCAGGGCTGAGAGGGTGGGTTTGCGGTAGAGACCTAGAACAGAAGGAGGCACCATGTTAAGTGGGGCTCACACCTCCCACATCATCCCCAGGGCTGGGCTGTGACAGGAGAAACACCCCTGAGAGCCAACCCTCTTCCTGGACTGACCCTGGGGCTCGGACCCCTGAGTGTCCTCTCACCTGTCATCACCAGCTCCAGGGGGTCACTGGGCTCTGACCAGCGAGTGTGTCCATGATACTGACAGCGATACTGCCCTGTGTGTTCCCCAGCAATGGACCGGATGGGGAACTGGCCCTTCTTCCTACTCGCCTGTGGGATCAACATAATCCAGGATGCTGGTGTTTTTTCTTCATATAGATGATAATCCTGGGCTTCCAGGTTCCCCTGACATCTGAGGGTCACGGGACTCCCCTGGGTGATCACAGAGCCTGGCTCAGCTGAAAGGGTGGGCTTGGGGAGGGTCCCTGGCAGGAAATCAGAGGTCAGATTCTAAGTCATTTCCACCCAACCCAACAGATTCCAGCTCTCAGCCCAGGACCCTCCAGACCCCCATCAGTCAGCCCAGAACTGCTATTCCCCTCCCCAGCTGCACGGGGGTGGGCCTTGTACCCAGTGAGGAGGAGGACGTGGGCCAGCTGGGGACAGACTCACCTGCCTGCACGTGGGTCCTGGGGCCCAGACTCAGCCCTGGAAGAGAGTTCCCTGTGAGAGATTTGCCCCTGAAGCCTGAGCAGGTCCGCCCCTCCCTGGGGTCTTTGTGAGCCCTGGGGTCTCCTCATGGACCAGAGTTTGGCTGTGGGGTGAGGTCCCTCCTAGGTTAGAATCTCCCTTCCCTCTTCAAATCTCACCGACATAGATCAGGACCATGAGGATGGGGGTCATGGCGTCTCCTCCCACTGCCCTGCTCTGCAGATGGATGAGCCCTCGGTGCTGGCAGGACAGAGAGACACAGGGTGTGGACACTTGGTGGCTGGGTCCTTCTTGTCATGGGGTTGTGTCATCTGCAGCCACACAGGAAGCAGAACTGCCCTCCCCAGGAGCCTGGCTCTCATGCCTTTAGGGCTGAGGTTGCGGTGGGCCCAACCCCTCTGCAGACATTTCAGACTGTAATGGGGTCTTTCCTGACCCCCAGCCACTGTCTGTCTCATTTGTTTTCATCTCACTGGGAGCTGGGATGTAGCAGCCAATAGAACTGGTGTTTTTCTGTACCTGCCCTTCCAGACGAGGGTGAACAAAGGCTTCCCCTTCCTTCTCACAGCCTCCCCATGGGGTCTCCCTCCCTCCCTCACCTTGTCCATCAGCACAGCAGTGCAGGGGCATTACCACAGCTGTCATCTCTCCAGCCCTGGAGATGCTTCAGGGAAGATGCAGGTCCATGCTGCAGGCAGGCTCAGGTCAGCAGAGACGCACCTGACACCTGGCCATGCAGTCCAGGCTGAGCTGCATGGGGCCGCGAGCACAGAGAAGAAATGCAGGGAAATGGGAAGAAAAGTTGACTTCTTTCTTGACACTGGATTGTGGGTTTCCTTTCAACAAAATAGTTCCCTTCTCAGCTTCCCCATTTTAAAACTGACTCATCTCATCCTGCATCTGTGACTTTTCTGTTGGGTGTCTGCAGTGAGGGGATTGGGTAATGAAGTTTAACCTGAGAGTTTCAGGAGTTTGGTTCAGGGCAGGGCTTGTTTCCACATCATTAGCAAAAGGGTTAATTTTTCCATGTTTTCTAGAAACAACCTAACGTGCTTTATCAGAACCTGGGAATGTTCAAGACCTCAGCTTGAGTTCAAGTCTGCAGGTGAAACATGCATCCGTCCAGCCCAAAGAGCAGGCATGGCCCTTTGTCTCTCCCTCAGAACAAAGAGAAAAGTGGAGGAAACCGTGGAACCCTAGGGAGACCGTGGCTCCCCCTCGTCTGTGTTTGTGGACAGAATCTGGGATAGCTCAGTTCAGTGACTTGGGCCACACTCAGCCCTGAGCCACCTTTCCTGGGTGCACATGGCACAGAAGTGCTTTATCAGTGTTGGACCGAGTGTGAGGCTCACGTGGGCCCCGCCGTGCCGGGCATGTCGCAGAGCTGATTCTAAGCTGGGAGCGTGGACACTGCAGGGCAGGAGTGGCTACAGCAATACCTCATGAGTTTTCATTCCTGAGTCAGCTCTCAGAGAAACTCTGTATGGAAGATCAGGTGTGTGAGAGGAAAACCACCCCAGAGGAATGAAAATCACAGAGTCCATTAGAGCAAAAACAGGCAATTATAGAAATGAATTGGATAGATATTGTCAGATGAAAAATACAAATTATATTAACATATTTAGAAATAATTTCATCAAGAACAAGACACAGCTAGAATGACAAATATTATATTGGTGTGGAATATTATTAAAATTTTCATAAGTCATCAGAGACACCTTAGAAATGAAAAAAAAGCAAAGATAATTAATGCATACAAGTAATAGAATGACAGGAGTGAGCTGATATCTCTGTGTCACACTTTCAGAATGAAGGAAATAAGGGGTATGTTTGTGAGTAAACACCTGCAAAGAAAATAGTTGACATTTTTACAGAAATGACGAAAGAACATAAGCTTAATGTGCACAAATTTATAAATGAAATTAATGTCTTAACTATGGTAGAGTGAAGGATATTTAGAATAAATAAAAAGTCATTTTAAAACTACTGGAGAAAATACAAATTATTCTGAAATGAATGACAAGCACATTGGGACTGGATTTCCCAAAGGAAAAAGTGGAGGAAAAATGACTGGGGGTTCAGGTTCAAGTTGGCTGAACGGAAACAGCTGGCGTGTGCCTCTCTCATTAAGAGGAATCAAAATGGTGGGTAAATACCAAAATGCCAAGGAGATCTTTTAAGAGAGCGCACTGGGGATCCCCAGAGACTGAGGACATGGAAAGCACAGGGAAGAAAAGCTGAGAGCCAGGAGAGGTTCCTAACATGGAGAAGGGTTGAGTGAGAGACAGATTCCCTAACATGAGGAAGGGGTGAGTGGGCGAGAGTCTCCCTAACACTGGGAAGGGGTGAGTGGGTGAGACGCTCCCTGACATTGGAAAGGGGTGAGTGGGTGAGAGGCTCCCTAATACTGGGAAGGAGCGAGTGGGTGAGACACGCCCTGACATTGGGAAGGGGTGAGTGGGTGAGAGGCTCCCTGACACTGGGAAGAGGTGAGTGGATGTGAGCCCCTGGGATCCACGCCCCTATCTTGGCCCTTTACAATCCTCCTCACAGAAGAGCCCCTGACCCACCTTGGCCTGCAGAGGCACACAGGGAGTCCCTGGAAATTTGGCAGAGGTGCCTCCAGAGTCCACATGGAATCCCACAGGCTTTTGATCCCTGAGCAGACGGGGTCCAGCTGCCGCTGCCTTAGCAGGGAGGGAGGAGGCCAGGCACCTCTGTGGGCTCCCAGGAAATATGTGACAGCTGGGGCACAGAAGCAGCCACGCTGAGCCCCCCATGGCTCGCTCACTTCTGTTGCTTCCTGCTAAATGGGGCTTCCTTCCGGCTAAATGGGGCTTGCCAGCTTCAGGGCCCCAGTGTACCCCTCCTGCCCCCACCTGAACACTGTGGCCCTGGCTGGGTGCCCTCTGAAAGCCCAATGCTCAGAAGCCCCTGAGAAGTCCTTTGAATTTACTGCCACCAATGCCTCAGCCCCTGCTGCCCCAGGTCCAGGGAGAGTATGGGGAGACCTGGCACATTTGCGTGTCCCCAGAGCAAAACTGAGCGCCACTTCTTCAGGAGGGAAGTGTGAGCGGGCCCTGTGCCCACAGCTGCCAGTCTCCAGTGCCCCAGCCGAGGGGCCCTGCCCTCCCCAGTCACAGGCCCACAGCACAGCCGCCATGCCTCCACCTGGACATTTCAGCCGAAGGCCCCTCCTCTTCTGAGAGCCCGGTCCCCACAGGTCTGTGATCTGCCCCCAGACTCTACCACCTGAGCGTTCTGCCTGCCCTGCCTGAGAGTTCTGCCGGTGACCTGGGGACCAGCCCATCCCTCCTCATCACAGCCGGCACCTGAAACCTGGAACAGGCGAATCCCAGTCCAGCCCCTTTAGGACTCACACACGCTGTCCAGCTGGCCACCTGGAGGCCTGTGATCTGGGGAACCGCCAGCCCTTTCCCACTGTGCTGGCACCTGACCACTCACCCCAGGGCCTGAGGTCGGGTCCCCCCAGCCAGCAACACCACAACTGACGTCCGCTTGTCCAGCCAGGAAGGCAGAAGCCCCACATCCCAGCTACATGAAGCAGCAGTGTGACCACGTCAGACACAGGCAGCCGCTGAGGGGTCTGCACTGCGCTGAGTCAGGAGGTTCTACCTTGGGATGATTCCTGCAGAGAGTGGCAGGCAGGTGTTTCCCACGGCTCTCAGCCACACAGTGGCCTGGGGAGAGACAACAGTGTGTGTCTGAACAGAGACTCAAGAGTCCTGGAGCAGGCGTGTGATAGGGAAACAGGTAATGTTCCTCCCCATGGGACTGGAAATGGATGTAGCCCCTTCACCTCCAACAGAGACCTCAGGGCATTTCCCACATGCTGCCCCAGTCACACGCTTCAGGACTGCGGCCGGCACTCATCATTACGGTAATTGTGGGCAAACCAGGGGCTCCGGCTCTGCCCAGCTGTATTTCCTCACCCCGTGGAACAGAAAGCTCAGGGCTCCAGACCCTCCACGTTCCAGCCCTTCACCTGAAACAACAGACAGCACCTCACAGGAAGCAGGCAGGTCCATACCCACCTGCTTGTGCAGAGGCTGGCTCTTCCCCTTAAGCACCAGCTCCCAGCCTGCAATTTGAACCGCACAGCCCAACACAAACCCTGCTGCAGAAGCGCCCGAGACTACGGAGAAAAGCCTAGAGACCCTTCCCAACGTGCTCTACAGTCACACTCCCTGTGGGGCTGGGGGAAATGTGCAAAGAAACCCCATCCCAGTGAAAATAAATCCAAAGAGAATGAGTGGCAGCCTGTCCAGATGAGAAGGAATCAGTGTGAGGATTCTGATGTGTGAAAAATCTGAATATTGTGGTACCACCAAAGGATCACATTCACTCTCTAGCATCAGACCCTGAAAACAATGGAAACTCTGAAAGAACAGAAAAAGAATGAGATTAAGACAAAAACATTACAAAGAATTAATGAAATAAAAAGTTGGTTTTTTGAAAGTATAAACAATATTGACAGATGTCTGACTACATTAACCAAAAAAGGAGAAGATTTAAATGAGCACAATCAGAAATGATAAAGATGACATTACAGCCAACACCACAGAAATACAAAAGATCATCAGAGACGACTGTGAACACCTTTATGTATGTAAACCAGAAAACCTAGAGAAAATGGATGACTTCCTAGACACATACAACTTCCCAAGATTGCACAGGAAAAATTCGAAACCCTAAGCAGACCAGCAACAAGTAATGAAAAAGAATTGGTACTAAAACTTCTTCCAGCAGTACAGCCCAGCAATAGATGGATTCACAGACAAACTTTGCCATATATACAAAGAAGAGCTGACACCAATCATACTGAAACTATTCCCAAAAAATCGAGGGTGGGGATTCTCTCCTAACTCATTATGTGAAACCAGTATCACCCTGATAGTAAAGTCAGACACGGACTCAACAGAAAAATGAAACCACAGGCCAAGAGACCTGAGGAACACAGATGCAAAAATCCTCAAGAAAATATTAACAGATGGAATCTAAAAGTGTGTGAAAAACATAATTCATCATGATCAAGTTGGCTTTATTCCAGGGATGAAAGGATGGTTCAATATATGCAAGTCAACAAAGGAGACTCATGATATAAACTTGAACTAAGAACAAAAAGCATATGATCCTCTCAACAGATGCAGACAAACTATTCAATAGAGTTCAACATCCCTTCATGATAAAATCCCTCAACACATTAGGCATAAAAGAAACACAGCCCAAAATAATAAGAGCCCTGCATGACAAACACACAGCCAACATCAAATTAAAGGGGGAGAAGTGAAAGTTTTTCCCAAGAAATGGAACAAGACAAGGATATCCACTCTCACCACTCCTGTTCAATACAGATCTAGAAGTCCTCACCAGAGCACTCGGGCAACAGAAGGAAATGCATCCAAACTGGAAAAGAGGAAGGGAAATCATCTGTGTGTGCTGATGACATGACTGTATACCTAGAAAATCCTGAAGATTCTTCCAGAGTCTTGTAGACTTGATAAGTGACTTCAGTAAAGTCTCTGTATACAAAATCGAGGTACAAAATCAGTAGCCTATCTATACATCAGTACCATTCAAGCTGAGAACCAAATTAAGAACACACAAACACACACACACACACACACACACACACACACACACAGACTGAGAAGTATATTTAAACAAGCAGGTGAAAGACCTCTACACAGAGAATGACAAAATGCTGATGAAAGGAATTGCAGGCAACACAGTCAAACAGAAAAACATTCATTGCTCACAGACTGGAAGAATCAATATGGTTAAAATGAGTATATTGCCCAAAGCATACTACACACTCAACACAATTCCTATCAAATTACAAGTGTCATTTCTTTAACAGAATTAGAGAAAAAGCAATTTTCAAATTCATTTGGAACCAAAAATTAGCCTGAACAGATAAAGCAATTCTATGCAAGACTAAGAAACCTGGAAGCATCACACTGTCTTGATTTCAAATTATACTACAAGGCCATGGTAACTAAAACAGCATTTACTAGTACAAAAATGTACAGAGATGCCAAGGAAGCAGAATAGAGAAACTAGAAGTAAAGCTGCCTGCCTACAACATACTGAGCTTTGCTAAAGTCAACAAAAATAAACAATGGAGAAAGACACCCTATTGAATGAAGGATGCTGGGAAAACTGGGTAGCTATCTGCAAAAGAATAAAACTGGACCCCTATCTCCCACCATGTAGAAAAATTAACTCGAGATAAATTAAAGACCTCTGTGTGAGACCCTGAAGCTATGTAAATCTTAAAAAAACATTAGGAAAATCTCTTCTGAACATTGGCCCAGGCAAAGAACTTATGATAAAGACTCTTTAAAAATGCAACCAAACCCCAAATATACAAATGAGACATGATTAAAATTAAAAGCTTCTGCACAGCAAAAGAAACAATCAACAGAATGAACAGACAGCCGACACAATGGAAGAAAATATTCGCCAATTATGCCACCAACAAAAGACTAGTGTCCAGAATCTACAAGGAAGTCAAAGAATTCCACCTGAAAAAAAAACCTCAAACAACTTCATGAACGTGAAAAACCACATGGAAAAGAACCACAGAGATTTATAGAAAACTGAGTAAAGAACATCAACATCAACAGACATTTCTCAAAAGAAGAAATATAAGTTGCCAACAACACATTAAAAAATGCTCCACATGATTAATCATTAGAGAAAATCAACTTAAAACCACAATGAGTATCAACTGACACCAGTCAGAATGGCAACTCTTAAGAAGTTAAAACCAACAGATGTTAGCAAGGATACATTGTTGGTAGGAATGTAAATGAGTTTATCTTTCACAGAAAACAGTAGGGAGCTATCTCAAAGAACTAAAAATAAAACTACCATTTCACTTTGCAATCCCATTTCATAGTATCCAGCTTAAAAAAAAGTAATTATATAAAAAAGACAGCAGCACTCATTATGTTTGTTGCAGCACTATTTACAACAGTGTAGAAAATAGAATTCTAGGAATGTATGAGACCCCGTTTCACTTAAACATGTTTAAATATCTGAAAAAAGAGGAAATTAAATTTTTGAGACAAAAATATGGATTATCCTGGTGAAAAATGGGCATCAGATAAATGAGTAAGAAATCCTAGAGGTGAAAATATCTATTAAAGAATACAATCAAAATATTTATTCTATCAGTGTCAAGATATAGCTGAAGAGACATTTATGAAATTGGAAAACAAAATTGAGAGAATTTTTCAGAATGAACCATGGAGGCACTGAAAGTGAAAATTCACCATCCTTGGGGGGAATACTGTGAGGAGGGAGGACCTCATATCTACTGCACATGTCAGAAGGAAAGAAGGGGGAATGACATCAGGCAACAACTCACGAATTACAGAGTTGAACATTCAACAGAGACGAGGGAAGACTAATTAAGTGCTAGGGTGCACACATTTAAACATGAAATGCGAATCTTCACCTACCACGATACATTGAAAAATATCAGGAGTAGATTAAAAAGTATGTATGCTAGACTCAAGTTGTCTGGCGTAAATTGTATAGTCTAAAACACATGTTTGTGTTCTGCGATTTTCAACTCAGCCTGTCAGTAGAGTAGCATGCACATTGGGATTGAGATGTTAAGAAACTACTCTACAAGTCAGTCATGTAGAAGGCAGAGGTCAATGTGTTCACAGGATTCATACCCAAGAGTCACAAGACACACGTGAGATCCATGGGAAAGGCTGGTGGCCAAGTATGTCTGGAGGGTAATCAGTGACAGATGCCAGAGTCTCCCACTTGACATCACAGAAATCTGGCTCAAATTTTTGGCCTGGCATGATCAAACTAAGACTTGGAACATATTCTCACTCAAATATTAACATGTATACAATATTATGCTTTACCTATAAGCATAACATTGTAATCATTCATATTCTATTGAGTCTTTGAAAATGTCCCTAATGGAATGTATTTATTCTACATGGTAAACGGCGAATGGCTGTTCCCTTTGTCCTAGAAAGTTCAGGATTCTTTGGTCCCTCAGGATCCTTCCCCCATCCATTCCATCCTATGAGGCAGTTTTACATCCTTCGAACACAGTGGTCTTTGACCTAGGAAAGTTTAACGCTTTAATGCTGGGACTCAAGTCCTCTTGCTGTTTGGGAGAAGTCAGAGAAGAATCAGCCCCAGTCATTTCTGCATGTTTCTATCTGACTGTCACAGTGAGTAGAAAGAAACAGCTCAACTCATTGACAAGATTCATTGGCCTGAGGTCTTGCCTTCAGCTGGATGTCTCTCCTACTTCCGTGATTTTCCTTTCATGGATCACCAACACACTGTAAATGCCTATCATTGTTTTGACATGGTGTACTTTGGTTCTGCCTGCAAAGGCAGGATGTCTTGAAATGAGGAGCTCACAGGTCATAGGTGGATTGAAATGTTTTCAGCCAGAATATGCAGATCCATAGAGACAGAAAGCACACCTGTGGTTACCAGGAGGGAGAGGAAATGGGAGTGACTGCTGAGCGGGTGTCAGGTGAGGACGATGGTGTGGAACAGGATGGCAGTGATGGTCACACAATCATCTAAGGGGAAGACACACAGATAGCATCTGAGAAAGAGGGAAGGGCTCGTAGGGTCCAGAGAGGGTGTTGCGGCATCCGGGTGGATTCATCTTTTCCTGGTTGAAATCCGATGCTCTCCCATTGATTTATTTACTGGACCACATTTGGAACTCTGAACTGAGGAGATGGAGGCTCAGTAACTCTCCCCAGGGAGTGTGGCAATGAGGAATAAGGAAGACTGTGTTACACGCCATGGACCAGAGCACGCCGGTGTGCAGAGGTGCAGACCCGAGGCTGCCACGTGGGATGGAGCCTCATGTGTGGGGGAGGGAAAGAAGGGGACCCAACGATGGGAAGTCAACATTCATAGAGAGGAAAGTATCACATGTTCATGGTCCTCCATGGATCACCCTGGAAAATGTCTCTGCATTGCAACTCTGTTTTCCTCCCTCTAGAAATCATCAGCAGACAGTCCAGATAGCATCAGCCCTAAATGGTCTCCAGAACCTGCTGGGATCATCAGATCTGTTCCCAAGGCTCCAGCACTCTGAAGGCTGCACTATCTTCTCTGCTGTTCACCTCCGGGCTGCATCCTGGGGGCTTCTCTGGCTGTGCTGAGCCTCAAATAGCAGAATGCCGAGGATCACCAGGACCAAGCCAGCCATGCCCATGCGGATGAGATTCCCCACTTTGTAATCCTGGGGCTGTGAGGCTGGGGATAATGGACAAAGAAGTCACAGAGATCAGGGAGGATCAGCATCACCCAGGACCTCTGGAAGTCCACCCAGGGCACCCACCTCCCCTTGACAGGACCCCACCCTCTGTGCCAGCTCCATGACCTCAAGCATCTCCTCACTCACCATCCTTGGAGTCAGACTTGTTTTGTGATGGGCTGAGGGTCTCAGCTGCTCCTGAGACTCAAAACCAGGGAGGAGAGACATATTCAGATGTAAGTTATATAACAGGTGGTATGTAAGGTTAGATGTAACTTATATAACCTCCCCTGGAGCCTGTGGCTCCTCCTCTGTCTCTGCCCAGCTCCTGGAGGGAAGCCCATGCTTGAGTTCTTGAGGAGAACAGGATCTTCTGGGAGACTCAGGAATGCTTTGGGGAATTGAAACATCCATCTCACACACTTTACAGATGAAAACCTGAGGCTCAGAGAGGGGGACCACCTGCCCCAGGACCCCCAGCCAGGAAATGGCAGAGCTGGGAAGGGGACCCAGGAGTCTGACCTGCAGCCCTTCTTCCGTGCACTGAGCAGAGCCCCGGAGCTGCAGGGAAAGAGCCTGAATGCCCCAAAGCACGGCCCTGCTCCCCTCCCCCCGCCACAGTCACCATCACTGCTGCAGATGGGACAGCACTGGTCCCTGAGGAATCAGGTCTGGAGGCTTCCCTGGGGGGCCTCCTCTCTCAGGAGGTCAGAGCTGAAAGGCAATTTCTCACCCGTGCAGGCCTCTCTCATTTACACTTGGAGAAACTGAGGCCCGGGCAGAGGAGGGGCCTATCCACATCACCATCTCCAGAGGAGCCTTAATCCAATGACAGAACCCACCCCTGCCTCCCCTGGACCCCACCCACCTCCCCGCCCACCTCCCCCGCTCAGAGCGCCTCACTCACCACTCCGGGGATCAGACTCCGTGGGAGGGACAATGCTGGGTTGGGATGGGGATCAGAGGGCTGGAGCTGTCCTACTCCCCACTTCAGCCTGGCTGCTCCTCCCCCAGGCTGGGCCCCAAGATCTCCTTCTGCCTCAACCCCACCCCTCACCAGCCCAGCCTCAGAGCCCTGGGAGCCTGTGGTCCTCGCTCTGTCTCTGCCCAGCAACCTGGAGAGAAGTCTGTGCTGGATCCTTAAGGGGAACAGGATCCTCTGGGAGCCTCGAGACTGCCCTGGGGGAGGCTGCACTCCCTCCCAGCCAGGAGGCCTTAGTCACTCACCAGGTGTGGGGGTGGGACCGGTGGGTGGAGGGCCGGGGACCCAGGAGGGTCCTGTGTAAAGAATGAGAGGAGGCGGAGGAGCTGGGTCTTGCCAGAAGCCTCCACCTCAAACCAAATTTCTCTACATTGGCCCTGTGGCCCTCCAGTCCCCTCCCTCAGCCGCCTCACCTCTTCACGACGTTGGCGATGCCACTGAGGGTGGGTGTGCCTGGGAGGGCCCCACTGTCCTCCTTCCCTCTGAGGGCTGAGGCCCCTCTGGCTGAGCCTCCTTCAGAGCCCCCTCCCTCCATCCCAGCCCAGAGCTCTCCTGGGGCAGGGCCTGAGCTGAGCCTTTGAACTCAGAGAGGACAGGGTCAGGGCCCTCACCTGAGACCACGAGCTCCAGGGGCTCACTGGGGTGAGACAGCAGGTAGGGGATGGAGCTGTATGAGCCGTAGCACCTGTAGGTCCCTGCATGGACTGAGGTCACAGGACTCATGGGGAATTCAGCCTGGTACTTATCAGATTCATTCCTTGATCTTAGACGCTGGGGGGCATCAGCTGCTCCCTCCTTGGTCAGAAGGAAAGTGTCCATCCACCACTGTGACTGACACAGCAGGGTCACGTCCTCTCCTGAGGCCACCATGCGGCCCGGCTGCACTGAGAGGGAGGGTGTGTCAGGGATCTGTCCTGGAGAGAAGAGGATGGGTGAGGGGCTGCCCCACCTTGTTCTGAGCTGAGACCTCCCCAGGCCTCTCTCTGGGACCCTCAGTCTCTGTTTTCTCTGAGTCTCCCCCTCCCCACCCATCCCCTGTCTCTGTCTGTCTCTCCCTCCCTTGGGACCCCCACCTCTCATCCCGGCCATCACCTGGGCTCCCTGGAAGGGCCTGTGCAGAGCCTGGGCCCCTGACTGAACCCGCTGGGCTCCTCACCTGCGATCAGGATGTCCAGGGGGTCACTGGGGGCCGACCACTCAGAGGAGAGATTGTGGGCACCGGAGCATCTGTACTGGCCCCCGTGGGAGTGGCTCACAGAGCTCAGGGTGAAGTTGGCCTGGGAGAGCCCAGCCTGGAGCTGCCGGCCAGGGCGCTGGAGGAGGTCAGGTCCCCAATCCTTGAACAGAGCGAACCTGTCGTAGCCGACATCAGAGCCACACTGGAGGGTCAGGGTCTCCCCAGGGGCCACGACAGGACCCGGCTGCACTGAGAGTGATGGCTTCTCAGAAACACCTGGGAAAGGTGGTCATGGTCTCCAGGAGCCGACCCTCAGGCTCCCCACAAATCCTCCCTCTCCCCTGGCCTCACCGCTGCAGATCTTCCTGTGTCTCTGGCCCAGGAGCCCTGAGCCCTCTCACCCCAACATCGTCCCACCTGGAGCTGCCCTGAGACACAGCTTCTCCCCACCTGCCCGGAGACTCAGGGATCTCCAGGCAATGCTGTGAATTTCTCACCTGGGACCAGGAGCTCCAGGACATCACTGGGTGAAGACCACACATAGGGAGAGTGAGAGTAATAACCATAGCACCTGTACGTCCACCTGCGACTGGGGCTCACGGGGCCCACGGAGTAGACGGCCTGGGATGACCAACGGGCATGGGGCTGGGAGTTCAGGCGTTGTGGGTGTTCATCTTCTCCTTGATTGTGCAGAGCAAACCCATCAAATGCCACCAGTGAGCCACACTGGAGGGTCACATTTCCTCCTGGGGTCACCACAGGGCTGGGCAGGGCTGAGAGGGTGGGTTTGCGGTAGAGACCTGGAATAGAAGGAGGCACCATGTTAAGTGGGGCTCATACCTCCCACATGATCCCCAGGGCTGGGCTGTGAGAAGGGAGATGCCCCTGAGTGCAGAGCCCCTTCCTGAGGGCAGAGCCTGGGGCTGGGACCCCTGAGTTTCCTCTCACCTGTCATCACCAGCTCCAGGGGGTCACTGGGCTCTGACCAGTTAGTGCGTCCATTATACCGACAGCGATACTGCCCTGTGTGTTCCCCGGCAATGGACTGGATGGGGAACTGGCCCTTCTTCACAAGCTCCTGTGGGATCTGCCTAATCCAGGTTGCTGCTTTTTTTTCTCGATATAGACGGTACTCCTGGGCTTCCAGGCTCCCCTGGCACCTGAGGGTCACGGGACTCCCCTGGGTGATCACAGAGCCTGGCTCAGCCCAGAGGGTGGGCTTGGGGACGGTCCCTGGCAGGAAAGCAGAGGTCAGATTCCAAGTCATTTCCCACCTAACAGATCTCAGCTCTCAGCCCAGGGCCCTCCAAACCCCCATCAGTCAGCCCAGAACTGCTATTCCCCTCCCCAGCTGCACGGGGGAGGCCCTTGTCCCCAGTGAGGAGGAGGACCTGGACCAGCTGGGGACAGACTCACCTGCCTGCACGTGGGTCCTGGGGCCCAGACTCAGCCCTGAAAGAGAGTTTCCTGTGAGAGATTTGCCCCTGAAGCCTGAGCAGGTCCGCCCCTCCCTGGGGTCTTCGTGAGCCCTGGGGTCTCCTCATGGACCAGAGTTTGGCTGTGGGGTGAGGTCCCTCCTAGGTTAGAATCTCCCCTCCCTCTTCAAATCTCACCGACATAGATCAGGACCATGAGGATGGGGGTCATGGCGTCTCCTCCCACTGCCCTGCTCTGCGGATGGATGAGCCCTCGGTGCTGTCAGGACAGAGACACACAGGGTGGGGACACTTGGTGGCTAGGTCGTTCTTGTCATGGGGTTGTGTCATCTGCAGCCACACAGGAAGCAGAACTGCCCTCCCCAGGAGCCTGGCTCTCATGCCTTTAGGGCTGAGGTGGGGGTGGGCCCAACCCCTCTGCAGACATTTCACACTGTAGTGGGGTCTTTCCTGACACCCAGCCACTGTCTGTCTCGTTTGTTTTCATCTCACTGAGATCTGGGACGTAGCAGCCAATCGCCCCGATGCCTTCCTGAGTCAGCCCCTTTCAGGAGAGGGTGACCGTGGGCTTCTCCTCCCTCTCAGAGTCTCCCCAAGGGGTCTCCCTCCCTCCTTCACCTCATCTATCAGCACAGCGTTGCTGGGTCCTCACCATGGCCATCGTCTCTCCAGCCCTGGAGTTGCTTCAGGGAAGACGCAGGTCCGTGCCGCAGGAAGGCTCAGGTCAGCAGAGACGCACCTGACACCTGGTTGTGCGGTCCAGGCTGAGCTGCGTGTGGCCGTGAACACAGAGAAGAAATGCAGGGCCTCTCGTGGTGGCTCCCGCCTGAAATCCCAGCACTTCAGGAGGCTGAGGCAGGAGGATGGTTGAGGCCAGGAGCTTCGTGTTACCCTGGGCCACATAACGAGACCTTGTCTGTCCAAAGAAGTGAAAACATAGCCGGGCATGGAGGCCCACACCTGTGGTCCCTGCTACTCCGGAGGCTGAGGTGAGAGGATCGCTTGGGCCTGGGAGGCGGAGGCTGCAGGGAGCTCTGATCACTTCTCAGGGTTCCAGCCTGGGTGACAGAGCGAGACCTTGTCTCAAAAGGGGAAATGCAGGGAGTAAAGAGAACGAAACGTATTTCTTCTGTCCCTAGAGTGTGTGTTTCCTTCCTACACAGTAGCCCCTCTCTTACGCTTCCCCTTTTTGCTTTGCTGCAGTATCACCCACCCCGACCTGGGGATGAGCCTCCGGGTCCATCCCACGTCCTCAGTGCCCCTGTGTCCCTGGCTGTCCCTCTGCCCCTCCGTCCATGTTCAGCGTTTTCAGAACAATTCGTTAGGTCTGTCATCTGGTTCTGGGGGAGGGGAGCTGATTTCTATTTAATTCCTGATTATCATCCATGGTTTGTGTGACCTTGGAGATTAATGTCACCTCTGTGCCTGTTGTCGTGAGCCCTACTCATCACAGAGACTGTGGGGGTCAGTGGTGCCCAGGACGTGGGAGGGGCTCAGCCGCGCGTAATTTCCAGACCAGTTAAGACAGGAGGGTTGGGACGTGAGAGGATCCTGGTGTTGGCTCCGCAGTCGAGGGGGATGATTGATGCACCCACTCCAGAGCCCGCGTCAGCTCCAGTCACCGTCAAATGCTCCTTGTGACACGTCTGAAATACGCAGATCATCACGGCCACAGGCAGAGAAAGAGGAAGAAAAGTTCCTCCATTTGAGAAGCATCCGCTTCAATGAAGAGTTAACAGCTGAGTGGCCACAGGTGTGTGGGACCACCCAGGGGTCATTAGAGAGCAGGAGGTCCCACCTCCGTGTGGGACGGAAGAGGAATCCCGGGTCCTCCCAGGCAGGGCATGGTCAGGGCTCTGGGTGAGGCTGGAAGCTGTGGCCCCCTCCCCTGTGCGTGTGGACAGGCGCTGGGTGGGGGGGTTTCTGCTCACTCACTGGAGTCCGTGGTCAGCTCTGAGCCTCTCCCCCATGTGTGAGAAACAGACTGAATCCCCGGTTGTCAGACACAGGCGTCTGCCCCATAGGAAGTGAGGCTGGCATCCGTCCCATCCCTGCCGGGCACAATCCTGAGCTGACGCTGAGTTTGGGAGAGTGGGGCAGGAGCAGCGGCAACAATCCCCCTTCATCAGGCTGACGCCAGGAGAGCCTTGGGGGAACCCGTTATGAGAGGCCAGGTGCGTGGGAGGAGAGCCACCCGACAGGAAGGCACAACCAAGACCCACGAGGAAAACACAGGTGCTGAAATGCGTTAGACACTGGGAAGGTGGAAAATAGTCAATTGAATTAATTTTTATATGAATTAATTTATATATTATATAAAAGAGCCCAAGCCCTTCTCAGCCTTTTCCCCTGCTGTCTCTGCTACTGAAACTGTGGGGTTTCTGTCTCCACTCTCATGTGTCCCTCTCTTCCTGTCACGGAGATTTTCTTCCTGGACACCAGCAGCTGGGTTGGACCTGGAGAAGGACTGGAGTGTGGTGGGTGGGCGTCTGCGCTCTCCAGGCAGAGTTACCTCCTCTGCAGGCCTCTGTCCTTGTCCTCTGGCTCCGCAGCCCCCGCAGGACTTTGGAAATCAGCCTCCCTCTGGGCTGGGTGAAGAAGGACAGAGTCTGAGCCTTGGGCGCATTACGACCACCTGCGGTGCACACAGAACTCGAGAGGAGAGAAGGCAACCTGAAAACACACTGGCGTAACTGTTTTAAATACATCGAAAGTTGGAAGAAAAAAAAAAAAGGAAGAGTAAGGTAGTCACGTGTGCTCACGTTCATTCTCTTCTTTCCAGGTGTTCTCACTGGGAAATGCTGGAGCTGTTTTTCTGAGCTGACTTCTCTTATCCGGATTCTCTTTGGCTGGTGCCCTGACCCCACTTCAGTCAGCCCATGGGTCCCCTCATGTCCTACTGACCCAATGTCCTGTGTTTGCCCTGATGCCAGTGTCCGAGGAGGAGGAACAGGAGGAAGAACAGTAGCTAAAGGCCACGGAAACGCTGATCACAAGCTCCAGGGGCCTTCCCAGGCCTTGAGGTAGGACAGTGAAGGTGTACTGACGTCCTTGCCAAATGAAATAAAATGATTCCTGGTGGTTCTTATTAACAGTAATGGAGAAAAAAAAAATTCTTAACAGATCAATGGCTGAATACTGGGTATCAGGGGATGTATTAATTTGCTGAAACTACAAAACCACATCTGTTACGGCATCTGCAATTGGATCGTCACCTGGGTAAGCTTACAATAATCTAATATCATTATCCAAGATCCCTGTGTTTTCTATAGAGGAAAAACAGAAGGGTTGGACGGCAAGGTTGTGGGAATCACTGTCTTTGCACCCTCCAAGTCCTGGATGGAGGTCCTAATATACGGAATTTCCTCCAGGAATGCAAGACTGCTTTTGGTTTACAATTTAGCTGGGAAGAGGCAGTTCCGGTGGCTCCCGCTGGACTCACTATAATAACCCTCACTCCGCAAGTGAGGGAACCACTGTGGGGCTTGTGAAAGTTGTTAAATGTGTCTATTCCAGTATTGCCTTTTGGAACTGGGGATATAGCCACTGGATGGGTTTAGGGACACACTGGATTCCCCCGTGGAACAGACGTGAGCTCAAACTCCATCAACCACCTTGCCTCTAGTAGCCGCTACTCTGACTGGAGGGTCACAGTGACGTTTTGGGTCTCCTGAAATTAATGTCAATTCATAGCCCATTTCCAGTAGTGCCCAAATTAACTAATTATTTTCCCCTGATGTTCCATTGCCATCATAAAAGGCCACAGGTCCCTTTAACGAAAGTCCAGAGGAAAGATCAAGAGTATAAATTCTTGGTAGTATCCCAGGGGTCGTGCCCTCATGGGGATCCTGTCCCTTTAATTTCCCTTTAAATCAAGAGATTCTGGCTCTATGAACTGGCTCAATACTAGTCATTGATTGAGAGACTCTGGTTCTCTGCTTTTATGATTCAGGTTAGACTTTTCTTCACTTGACAGAAATTTTCTTAAGTGAGACTTTAGTAGGTTTCCTGTCTGTCTCCCTTGTTAGAATACCGTGATCAGCTAGCCAACACCATAACTCTGTGAGACGATTCTGATTGCTGGTTTGACTTTGCTGTCCATCATGGTAACCACACCCACCTTGCCTTTGGTGGCTGAGTTCTTGCACTCGGCCCCTATCTCTCTGGGGGCCAAGAGGTAGGGGCCAAATTACTCCCAACACATTTACATTTTTTTTAATTCAGCAATTTCACTGTAAGTTCCAGCTTCCAAAGAAGAGCAATCGCAGAGCTCCTCAAGGATGCCAGAGTTTCCCTCACGATATTGTTAAAAGATACATCTTCTGATTCTTCTCGTGTGGTCTTACATGGTTCGATAAATCCATGCAAACATTACAATCTTCCTAAGCCTTTAAATCAGTTCCTCTACAGCAAACCAAGGTATGCCTGGCGTGTTGAGTTTATTTACTGAGGGCCAGATTTTGCTCCATGTTTCAGCCAATCAACCAGATGAACTGGTAGAACCATTTTCAGTTCTCCAAGATGCAACATTAACTGTGCAATCTCTGTTTAGTGAGCTTAGATCAATAAATTTGGTCTAATTCAACTTTACGTTCTTTGATTCATCATTATCCCAAACCCTTAATATCCACTCCAACGTGTGTTCCTCAGACTTCTGTATGTATGAATTTGTTTTAAAAAGTTACTTTGGAGTCCGGGCACGGTGGCTCACACCTGTAATCCCAGCACTTTGGGAGGCCAAGGCGGGTGGATCACGAGGTCAAGAGATCGACACCATCCTGGTCAACATGGTGAAACCCCGTCTCTACTAAAAATACAAAAAATTAGCTGGGCATGGTGGCACGTGCCTGTAATCCCAGCTACTCAGGAGGCTGAGGCAGGAGAATTGCCTGAACCCAGGAGGCGGAGGTTGCAGTGAGCCGAGATCGCGCCATTGCACTCCAGCCTGGGTAATAAGAGCGAAACTCCATCACAAAAAAAAAAAAAAAAAAAAAAGTTACTTTGGAGAATAGCACATCTTCTCATGCACCATACTTTGTATAACACCCTTAGGGGCCTGTAAGACTTGAATCTAGTTACAGGTCTAGAAGCAAAGAGGGGTGGTCAGGATGTGTCCTGAGGAGAATCAGCATAGCCTTGCAAGGCAACTGCCTCAGGGGAGGCCAGTACCGTTTCCTCAGACTATGCAGGGTTAATCTCCTTGCATGCAGGTAGAGAGGATGCTTCTATTGGCAAGGAAGACTCATTCAAAGTTAAGGGCTCCATATCCTCAGCTGTATCA